GAAATCTTAATCAGTTCACTTGCTTTGATAAACAACAGGAATTCCTATATAATAGCTCACTGTAAGTGTTTCCCACCCAGAAGCTCCTGTTTATGTAGGACAGGGAGGAGGAGGATGGAGGGGTGGTTCTTAGTAAGTGGCTGTTGTATATCAACATGTTTAAGACTACAGTTATGGTTATAAGTTTACAGACACTCATCATTGGAATGTATGTCATGGTGATTTTGTACTTTGAATGATTTCTTTTAACTTTTCTTCTACCAGGAATGATTGTACAGCAAACATCTGCAATGACTTTAAAAATCAAGAATTGGGTGAATGTATTTTTTTTCTAATCCACATAGGCTCACGTATCTGCATACACTCATTTAAATCTCTCCAGTTGTTTGAAATCATCAGTTCAAACAACTGCGCGTAATCAGGTGTTTTTCAGATGTGGCACAACTTTTCCAAGGTTTGGAAGAAACCCCAAACTGTCACGCTCATATGAAAGAAATTGCTTAAATGTTCAGCATTCAAACAGTTCAAATCTGCTATAAACTGGAATGTGCTTTTTTAAAAAGTAATCAAAGATGTATGCTGTACAATCATTCCACCCAGAAAAGAAAACTCAAAGAAATGATAAAAAAATCCAAAATTGCCTTGAAAATGTCAGTGAATGCAAATTTCTGACCACAACTGTATATCTATTTCCTGCTCAAAGGTCTCACAAGAAAATGAAGGATGAGGAGAAGGAGAAAGAGAAGAAGGACAAGCCAGAGAAGGCCAACTGCTTCTGGGAGAGTGTTACGATGACGATGAGGCAAATCTCCCCTGCCAAAAAACTGGAGAAGATAGAAGGTTGGGAACCACCACACTTGGAGAACTTTGCTGAGACTGCTCCTGATGAAGCGCCGGTAGGCAAGAGCCAAAATGGGGACGTGGCAGAGTCATCCCCCAGCTCCCTGAGCATCCCGGCGACGGCGTTAGAGCTCCCCTCCTGGTGTGGACGGGGTCAAGAGGAGGACTCCTCCCGCTACGCTAACCTGTTGGACTCCAATGATTCAACAGCTGCCGTCACGTGGACGGCCCGTGCTAAAGTCAAGCTGGCCGGCATCAGCAGGATGAGCAGAGGGATTGTATCAGAGAGTGCAAGTGTATGGGAGGGGTTTAAATAGCAGCACTTTATACCTCTGTACTATCAATAAATCTGACAATCTGAACCAAATATTTCTTTCTATCTAGCTCTGGACACAACCAATGTTAATGTCAACATCATGCTGACATGTTGTAGTGAATCAGAATGTAAGACAAAGTATTCTGACTGAATTTGTGACTTTCAAATCACAAAAACTACAACTGAACAAAGGAAAACCTTCAACTGCTGTACATTTTTATCTGCAATACTCACTGGCATGGCAATTAGATAAATAATGTTGCCAAGAAATAAGAAAAGTGATTTTTATTTAATCTTTGGGGCGTCACTGGTAGAGACTCAATGAAGAATATCCTGCTGAAGACGTTTTTGTTGGCTCTCACTTCCTTCCTGTCTATGCAGTCGCAGTATGTGAGCAATGAATGTCTTAAGCCTTAACTTGTATATTAATTATGGGCTGTGCAATCACGAAACAGCTTATGACATAGCATTTACGTGTGAAATACCCGTGTGTGTTTGAGAGTGACGGAAGATGACTTTGTGGGAAGACATCACGGCTCTGAGATCTGAATCTCTGCTGTTGTATTGGGGCTGATGCTGCACTTGTGCCATATCAGACTTATAATAAGGATTTCTGATCAACATTCATGTCAAAATCTACATTAAAACGGAGAAAACTACATTTCCGGCATGTAATAATTGAAAAGTGATTAAAAACTCAATGGATTTTGTAATATGCTGACAATACATTGCATTTTAATCCGCAAATGACCAACTTTGTGATCAACTCACCATCTTTATGACATGAACATTTGTAAGATCTCATCTGTAGCATCTATCCCATATGATGGCAAAGCAGCTCTGCTGGTGGTTTCATGGATGGATGTTTTTAAATCTGATGCTGGATAGTTGTAATTTTGCTAATGATGGAAAAAGTAAATGCCAAACTAGTACTAGGACCATTTCTCATGAGAAGCAGCTCTGTGCACTTGTGCCTTGTCATTAAAATGACATCATGTGTTTGCTGTAAACGACCAATCCGCTGAGCTCATTGATGCACCTGTATGTGCTCGACCACACTTCCTGTCTCCAGTTACAAACCAGTGTCTCGGGATGCTATAAGCTTCACCAGCAGGAGCAGCAGAAGTGTTTTTGTTTTTGTTAATTCTTAAATGCTGTGTGATATATTATGTATATTGGCTATAACACATACAATGAAGATTCTTTGTTTTTTTCCTATGATGATTTTTGTTTTCGTGCTTTCCATTGGTATGTACTCATCTTTTCTTCTTTTTAAATGGGTTATTTGTTTGATACTGAAATCTGCTTCATCACAACCAGAGATCTACACATATGCAGCTCCACTGGCCGGGATGCCTGTGACTTGTATTTATTCACTAAAAGGCTGGGACTCATTTTTCTCCAGAATAAAGATCTAGACTGACACGCTGCCTCTGCTTCTTTCAACCTTTTGCGAGTGAAGTAAACACACTGGACTTTGCTTTTGGAAATTATCTGGACTAATTCAGTGATCCAAACAGAAACTGTCTACTCTGATCCCCCCTCTCTCTCTCTCTCACACACACACACGCACACCCAGATAAATAGAAAGAATACTGCAAATATATTGTTCTGTTAATAATTAAAAACATAATCTAACCCTTACAAATAGGTAAAATGTGATCTTTCACTTCTTGTTTTCCAGTCTCCTTTTTAACTTGATTACATGGCTTCAGAAAATTGAGTCTCATTAATCAAGTAATAACAGAGTACAAACAGGTTTTTAGAAATATTTATTACTGAATAGCTACTTCCTGCCCCGGAAAAATCATGACAGTACCATCAAGAGTATGGGAACAGTAGAGGGGTATTACAAAAGTTGGAAGGATACAAAATGTTCTTTTTTTCATAAATAATGCTTTACAATTTACCTGTCACATGACAGTTCTGACAAAAGTAGAACAACTTGATCAGCTGATGGGGTTTTACTTCTTTTGTGTGTGCGTGACGCATTGACGCTTGATGTACACAGAGCACGGCAGGTATTCACAGAGGACAACATAACAGAGACGCAAACATGGCATGCAGTTATTGCAGGAAAATGCCACCAAAATGAAACGGAACGAAAAGCTGTTGAACCCCATTAAAAATAAAAGATTAACACAAGTCATCTTTTTCTGCCACACTATAAATGTTAAACTTTCTTTTTAAACACATCACCATTACTTACATACTGAGCCCCCTAAAGATCACTCAACAGAATAGTTCGCCAGGCTACATTTACCTCGCAATAACCTTTCCATTTTATCTGGCTGATGAATTTAAGGTTGAGCTGTATCATACAAAAGAAACAGACTAGATCTCTGAAAACGACTGCGGACAGCTTTAAGTCACTTTAGCGGCAACGGTGCCTTCACTGCAGCAATAATGGCTGGAACATGGTTGCTTTTAATGGGAGTAAAACTTGCACTTGGTCAGGAATGTGTTGGTGCTACTGCATGTTGCTGATACATATATCAGAAGCACCACAAATACCAAATGTACCAGGCCTGCTACAGCTGGACATCCATAGCACCACAGACTGAAACACAGCAGTGGGCAAAGTCCAAGCTGGGGAGGTTACAAAAACTCTCTAAAGGCGATAACTGTGGCGTGTCTTTTTGTATAGTTATGGTAACTGATTTTAATATATTCAAAAAACAAAACAAAACGGCACCAAAAAAAAACTAAATTAGAAATGAATTTGACCGATAGCATTATTGCTACAAAAGTCAAATGAATCTCAAATATTTTAATATCTATAGTGTGCCTATAGAGCAGATAGTAGTAGTGCAATAATATCAATAGTGCTATTATGACAGGCCTGGTGGAATAACAGTAACTAAACATACAGCACAGCTAATGGCAGAAGAAATGCTTCCAACCAGTTCAGAGATCTTTTTCCAATCGGTTTTAAAGAGTAACTGAACTGGACCGACGCCTGCAATCACAGGGAATGGAGGGCAGACTGCTTTTGGTACTGACAGAACACAAATCTTATTATGGTCGTTTTGTTGTAATGATGCAATCATATCCTTTCATTTTCCCGCTTGTGAGGGAAAGGAAGTTCACATCAATGTGACTATTTTATGGTTCGTTAGAAACGTATCTTTGTGATTTAAAAAAATAAATAAAAATACATGTCTGCAGTTAGGTTCAAAATTTGTGCAGACTTTCAGCTTTGATTTAAGCAGTTTTAGAGAAATTTTGCTTTAACTGTTTGGGGATTACAGCCAATTTTATACAGTTCCTCAAATTCAGAGGATCAAAAACGACTGGACAAGTTAACATAATTTCAGGTACGAGGATAGTTTTTAATACTTGGATGAAAATTCTTTGAGCTTTTTCCCTGGACCTGCTCTCTCGGGCCTTTACCGCAGCCACCTTCAATGGCTTCTTGATTATAGCTCTCTGCATTGAGTTTTGTATTTAATAACTCTAAAGCATGCTCTGATGCTCTGATGGGTTGAGATCAGGTGACTGACTTGCCCATTGAAGAATATCCCATTTCCTTGCCTTGAGAAACTCTTTTTTGTTTACTTTTACAGTATGCTTTGGGTGACTATCAATTTTCACAAAGAAGTGGTGTCCAATTAAGGTTTACAGCATTTGTTAAACCCCTTAAGGTTGAAAGTCATATCTTCAATGTTTGATTTAAATTTAAATTCCACATGAAAAGAACTCCAGTCATGATCTTTAGGGGGCTTTGTACTTAACATAAACATGCTAAGATTTGCTCTACATATAATTCCTTTCAAAATATTCATATTGCATTTACATCATATTTTATTCCCTGTGTAAGGAGCAACCTTTCTTGTCTTAAAAGACAAACGTTTATGCGAAAGGAGAAAGCCTCGCTTATATTTCACCTTCTATCAACATTCGGAGAAATCCTCTCATTTAATTTTTCCTCAATTTACGGAAATAATTGTGCGTAAGGAAGTAAAGACGTTAAAGAAATACAGAAAAAATTTCTTTGAAGCCCTTTGTATTTGGGTTAAAGACATCAAGTTCTTGTACACACCTCTTGGTGTGGGAGTGACGCTGAATGGATGCTTCAGGTGAAAAACAGCATGGAGGGTTTAAAACTTGAACAGGTCGATAAAGTGCTGCGGAGAGATGGGCATCAGGCAGCTGTCTGGATCGTTGGCTGTGCACGGGTGGCCAAAGTCCTGGAAGGAAGTCAACAGCTTAATCATTAGAACGAAGGCAGACTGGGAAACCTCCGAGTTGGCGCAGACATGATTCTAGCATTTACTTAGAGTAGAATTAAAACTGATTACAGCACAGAAGCGAGCTCTTACTCTTAGGGTGATTTAGTAATTATGTCATAAACTGTGAACATAACAGCGCTGGTTATGGCAGTTTTAATTAAAAGTTCTCAGGGCCATGTGTCACTGTTTACTTGTGGTAAAAACACATGGCCTATTTAAGCGCATATAAAAGATAAAATGCAATGTGAAAACTAAACAGAACTTAGGAAGGATTTTACAAAAATGTGGTGAGCAAGTTCTGGATGATAGCACATGGAAGTGTCCAAATATTTATGTTGGACAAAGTGACAGCTGACATTCAGGAAAAAAAAAATCTATTTTAACCGGAGCAGGTTAAAGGAGATGTCAGCGGAAACAATGTCAGAGTTTACAAAACACGATGACAGGACAGCAAAAGACAAAACTCAATACAAGGAAATGAAATCGGACCATCGGGGCAATCATCAGGGAAATGAGACAACATGGCAATCTAAGAAATAGAAAAGCATTATGGGACATAAAGTACCTTCAATAACAAAGCCAGATGGCAATCCTTAAGGTATCAGGGACAAGGGGAACCAGGAGAAGAGGCAGGAAGGATGGGTGCCAAGCAAGGAGAAGGATGCAGAGAAGGCAGTAGGTTAAATAATTTAGGTACCCAGGAGAGGATAATAACAAGTTTGTGGCAAGTAAATAAAGAAACAAACAGAGGAAATTGAATGTATAGGAATACTTTTTAATAAAAGTGCTGCACTGTTCAGTTTCTGTATCTCTAGAAGTTCCCTGATCTTGCCAAAACATGATCTCTGTCTTAAAGTTAGTTAAAAGATCCGATTTTCTGTGCTGCTGAAAGCAAACCAGTCGGTTAATTTGCTTGACACTATTATTTTTTTTTTAATTATTGTACTGTAATCGTGAACAAGGATCCGCACTACAGCGTTGGTTTTTTTTTGTTTTCTTTTTGATTCAGCAAACCTTTTTATTGCTGGCTTTAAGAATTTGGAGTAAACTGAATATTAAATAATTAAAGTTAAAAATACAAAAGCAATACCAAGGAAGGTAAACTATTCAAAATATAAAGATATGACTTCACGGTGTTTGAGATTTTTCCTTTGTATCAAACTTCTGTAAAGACTTTTCTGTCTCTTTGCCATAGGAGACAAATTTTTAAAATAAGATAACCAACTGGTTGGCCAGAGGTTAAGTGTGCGACATCCTCAAGACTACGGCACCAGCTGCCTCATGGGAGGCAATCTGTGTCCAAACTATTCTGACTCAGACTGCCTGCAACCACCCTCACACAAACTGGCAAAGGTTTGCAAATAACTGCTGTAGTAGGCAGATGACCAACACGTTGGCATCAATCGGAGTCGATGCATTTCATTTTAAAAGGGTTTGTTTGTATTCTGGCTATCTTACTATATAAAACCAAGGGCGCAGAGTACCGATATTACACTTTGCAGTTAAATTGCCATCCTGCAGAAACTGGATGGCAAATATTTCCCCCAAATATTTGTGGCAGAATTTCTGTTTCAAATTCTTTCTGGATTCTGAATGTAAGCACTCAATGAGAATTTCTGTTTTAATTTCATTGTATGTAGCAATAAGGGATTTGAGATTTTCACCAACTTATCAGTTGACGCATTATCAAAAGCAGATTGTAGGGAACTTTCAAGTAGACCCCATTCAATTTTCAAACTGTTAGCAGACTAACTAATCATATTGCCATTTTATCATCACCTCAATACAAGTTGGTTTAAAATCTTGTTGCAGATCTAGTCCCCGTCTTTAACTTCACTGGACATGATTGCAATAATTTTAGTCGTGCAGTGGTTAAAGGCTGCTGTTTCTGTGTGTCTGTAGCATTAAGCAGTCCAGGTTGTGGTTATTCAGGGATTCAGGTTATTCATTGCTGAAAGGGGATACAGGCAAAAGCTACAGCAAGCAGTTAAACTTGGACTAAACCTGTTAGGTTATTTCAGAATGGCAGTCTGGTGAACTAAATTCATAATATAATAGTCATATTACTATTACATGACTACAAGTCATGTTAGATTTTATTCATTACATATGTGCCTACAGGTTATGACACCAAAATCAATAAATCAGTATAAGGAAACGTGCTTAGACTGTTACTGCTGCATTGTCTTGTTT